TCCATGTCAGCAGTCCACTGCCAGCCAACAAAGCACACAGAAACATGGCCAGATGAGTGTACTCATCGTGATCTATGGGACAGTGAAATTGGGCTGCCCATAGTGTAACTTCCACCAGACATTCATTTTGAAACCACTCACCTGGTTACCACACATAGACTGGTCTCACAGGTCTGCTAGGGGTGGAGAGGGGCTGGCCCTCCACATGGTCTGCAATGTGGTGGACAGGGCTGCCGCAGCCCCGTGCTCTACTGAAGTTCACACCTTGAATATTAGCAGCCTATCTGCTGAGTAATTTGCAGTTCTATAATTCCCTTTTAACAAGCTATTTTTTCCCTTGCCTTAGTTCTGAAATCCTGAAACATAAAAATGCAATGGAAACGTTGCCAAGTTAGTGTGGCTGGGATTGGAGGTGGGGAGCGGTTGGAGTGTTAGAGGGAAGATTCATCTATGGCGTGCAGACCCCACATGCACAGCAGTTCACACACAAGCCCGACATTCCTCATCTTCAGGTTCGAGCAGATGACCCAGGCACACACCCAAGCCTTTCCACTCCCACGTGACCCTGTCAGGAGAAAGAATGTTCTCAGAACTGGGTCGCCTCATACACTTTGTGCTAGTGGGTGACAGTAAGCTGACTGATTGCCTGGCTCACTCCCTGTCCCAAATGGGAGGTGACCACTAAATAGTGCCTATAAAGCCCCCCAGGATGGCAGCACAGCGCAGGCAGGGAGCCCAGGTCTTTCCCACCTCGCCTCCATGGAACCTGGATGGGCAGGAGAAATTCTCTCCTTGGGAGATGGAGGAGGGGTTTCTGCATTTCCTGTCCGGTGCCCAGCAAGGACTGTAGAACCCATCCGTTTCTGAGGCATCATCCAGCTGAGGGGCTCCCCATTCCCTCTGGCCCCAGTGGTAGTGACACTCTTTCCTTGTTCTGGGTTTCCCAGCTACCTGGGAATGTCTCTGGACCAGCAATTCTGCTTCCACTGTACCATCCAATACAGAGGGAACCAACCACCGGGAGCTATTCAGATTTAAACTAATTAAAATAAAATAAAAACCCAGTTCTCCTCAGTCACGAGAGTCACATTTCAGGTGCTCAGGAGTCCCAAGTGGCTGGTGGGACATGTCTGCCCATGAGGGCTCTGCTGGAAGCCTGATGGCCTCCTGTTCTCAGTGCTGCTCCCCTCCTTCCGTATTTCCAGAGACCATGGTACAGTTTAGAGTTTACTGGTCAGCAGCATAAATTGGGCTAAGAGCCCAAAACTAGTCCTAGTTTTTCCATGACTTCATTTATCCTAGCACTGAAAGTCCACCTCCAGGAACCCCGTCCTGGGCAAACTGGGGTGGTCGGTCCATCTGGTTAAGACCCACAGAGCAAATAATGTCTGACGGAGCTCTCTGTGGATGGGACCGGGGCCAGCTCACACTGCCATGCACAGTCCCTTCAGTGGGGGCACTTTCCCCTTCATCATGATGATACTCTATGTTCCCTCTTATATGAAGCAGTCCTGCATTCACCTCAATTCCACCTCCTCCCCCAAAGCCTCAAGGGTGAGTAGAAGGCTCTGTGCCTTGTCCCTTCCCTCAGCTGGGTCAGTCGCCATCTTGGAGGAGGCAGACGTGCCCCCTCAGGCCACCTGTGCCCACTTCGATCACCCCTGGGTTTCTCAAGCAGGACCCTTTGGAAGTGAATGTTTCAGTAAGAGGAGTTTGCTTTCTCTGAACTTGTGATTTATTTCCTCTCCTGGGGCACTTGAGTGGGTTTTCTGAGGCTGTCCCCCATGTTGCTGAGGTGTTCTGGCCTTGGAGAATAGACCTCTTGTTCTAGGGGCTCCTGCTCCCCTAGCACCTCTGAAGAACCTGATGATCGCCTCTACATTCCTCTCAGCCTTTCCCAGATGCCCTCCAGCCTGTGCTACCTGCTCAGGCCCATGTTTCAGCCTAGAAAACTGACCCCAGGCTTGTTCCTGTGTAGAGGTTCATCCCAGTGCAGCAGCCGCTGCCCCTCCTCCTACCCTGTCCCTTCAACCCTGCTGGCTCTCCATCCAGTCCCCAGGGTTCAGATCCCTTTGCTCCATGTCAGAGGGAAGTAAGACCCTTCCCAACATGGCAGCAGTGCCTACCTACCTCAGTCATCCCAGGTGGATACCACAGCACTGGCCTCTAGATCCCTTCACGCTGCGTCCAGTGGTGTCTTAGACCTCAGACTATCTATGTCAAGCTAAGCAGACCCCGTTGAAGCCCCTTCTCTCTGGGCTAGAGGCAAGGAAAGTAGCACCTAACCACACTTCCCTTCTGAGGGGCCTTGGAGCTGGGGGACAGCTTTCTCTCAAGAAGCTTCTTCCCAAGACACTCAAGTCCCTCCTACTCTCTTCTCCCTCCCTATCACATTTTATAAAGAAATCAACACTTGTACCCTGATGGCCCATGTTGGCAAGCACCGGGGTCTGGGGTTTCCTAGCTGTGGCCAGTCTGACCGGATGGGAGGTGGTACCTCCTACCATCACTGAGGTGGTTGCTCTACAAGGTTGGGGCGTGGGTGGTAGAAATCGTTAGATTATACATCGTCCTCCCTCCCTCCCACTCACCCTTCCATATGTAATTTTGTGATTTGCCTGTTCTTTTCTTGTGCTTTTTTTTCCCTTACTGATGTGAGGTTTTTTTATATGGTGAGGAAATGCTGTGGCTGTCCTTTGTTGTACATATTTTCTCCAGTTTGTTACTGATTTAAGTACATTTGGTTGTGTGTAAAAAGGCTCCCAAACAACTGTAGCTTCTAGAAGATGGAAGTGCTTTTCTTGTTTCCTCTGAGAGCCAAAGGAGGTCATCCAAGGCTGGTAAGGAGCTCCATAACATGGACGTGGACTCCAGAGTCTGCTTTCCATTCCTCCACCCCTTGCATGTGGCCAAATACACCTCATGGCCCAACAGAGCTTCTAGAACATCCATTCTCAAATGGCAGGGTGGAGGAGGGTTGGGTGGGAGAAAAGATAAGACTGTCCCAATCTGTAAAGACTTCCCTGAAGTGTCACATACACCTCACTGGCCCCATTGGGTCTCAGGGCTGATGTGTGTGGTCTAAGGAAGGCTGATCTTTCACTCAGATGAAAGTAAAGTGTCCTGAACCCACTTTCCATTGTTCCTGAGGGAGGGGAAAACAGGAGGCCACTAGAGGTCTGCCCTAGTGCCCTTCAGAATGCCATCTACACTTCCAATTTTCCAAACCTGTTGTCCCACAGGGACACCCACAGCTGCTGTCTTGAAGCTTTTCAGGCTGATGTGATTCAGACTCCAGAGATTTCACGTCAAACTCTCTGATGGCCTGATGGGATTCACACCCTCTATCCAGGGCTGAAGTGAGTAGGCAGCGTCCTACTTCACCCCTTAAGGGTGAGGGCTTTCAGATTTGAAGCCTGGCATCTCTTTCCACATCAGTCTCTGCTCTAACCCTCCCAGCCTACTCCCCTCTCCTCCCTCTGGGACAGAGCTCCAGGGTCTGGCAATTTCACATCACAGTTTGGGACCTCACTTCCAATCTCATGAGTATTTCACCGCATCTCAGCTGAACTGCTGGTCTCTGCAAGCTATGCATGTATCTAGAAGACAGATTTGAGCACTCTTCACGTATGGCTTTGAAATTGAATTTATTTACTTTTAATGTCTTGCCTCCGAATCAGACTGAATTCCTGAGGGCACCTGGATCTACTTTGGCTCCCCAGGACGCTATGACAGAGCCATTCCTGTACAACAGACTCAGTCTGCCCCTCTTGCAAATCTTTTTCCTCACTTGGGATTAGGTTTTGCTATAGCAGGTGAGACATGCCCCAAACCAATAATGTCTTACAGATAAAATTTCTCACATTAAAAAGAAGTCTGAGGGTAGGTGAGCTAGGTCCATTTGGATGGTTCCACATAGTCACCAAGGATCCAGGTTCCTTCCAATTTAACACAATCCTACTTCTTGGGTACAAGCTACTTCCACAGCCCAGCATGAGCCAGAGCCAGTGGTCAGGCCGTAACTGCTCTCTAGAAGCAGGACAGAGGAAGGTAGTTTACCAATGCAAATTCCCACAAGTCCCATCCCTCTGCTTCTCCATCATTGGCTGGAACTTAAAGTCATTGTGTCAAACCCTCCTTTCAGTGGGTACTTTGTCCTGCTCACTGTTGGGCTTCATAAACTAGATAAGGGGAGGAGTATGAGGAGGAAGCTGCCATCTGTGCCACCAAACACATCAGTATTCTCCTCCTCCTTCTCCAAGGTTCCCATTCCAATATCCTAGCCCACTAACCCATCCCATTCCAATATCCTAGCCCACTAACCCATCTCAAACCTAGCACAATCTTGTCAAAGAAAATGTACCCGGGGAAGCCACGTAGCCATGAGACCTCATTTATTGGTCAAATGATGGAACCTTCTAGTTCAATTCCTTTTTTTTTTTACATTGGGAAAACACAATTAGAGTCAATCTTCAAGGTCAATAAAACTAGTTTCTAATGCTGATGCCCTCCCCCACCTTAGTATGTCTTCCTCTTAAAAGCAGTTCCTCACCTCCTAGGAGTAGTTAATACAGCTGCTTCATTTATAAGTATTTATTAACTAATTCTTTAGTATTTCACCTGTTCACAATCATTCAACTTAGCTAAGGCTCTGAGGTAGGACCCAGCCATCCATCTGGGGATTCTGATGTATTCTAAAGTGAACTACAGGGAAGGGCACCTGGGTGCTTCAGAAAAACGCCATGCCCAGCCCTGCCCTGAGATCTGGGTACAGCTGCTCTGGATGTGCAGCCGGGGCAAAGGTGCTCTTCAGTGTCCCAAGGGAGTCAAAGGTGTGGAGGGCTGTAAACCCCGGCTCTACCACACCCAAGCAGTGTAGGTGCCCTGTCCCACACCTCACACTTTGGCAGGTGCTTTCTACTCATTTCCTGCCTTTAACCTTCCTTTGCCTCCTTCCTCCTCAAAACTTGGACAAACACATCAGGGAAGGGAAAAGAAGCAACATTTGTATTGTTTTATTTGTCAGAATTTCCAGAACCAGGGTCTCTACTGAACAAGTAGAAAAATAGAAAAGTTAACTACTTTGAAAAGACATCTAGGACAAACAAGAATACACTCAGAAAGGGGCTCACAGGACTCCAGCAAATGCAGTTAAGCTGGGGCCTGTAACAACAAAAAAGAACGTGTCCCCCACATTTTGAGATCTGTGCTTCCCTACAAAGCTAGGCTGCAGACAACAGAGGCCTTTCCTGCCCACCCTAGCTGGCCCAGTCCTGGAACCGGAAGCAGTCACTTGCTATTTTCCACACCGTGTTGCTGGGCGAGGCCTGGGCAGTCAGGATGAAGTTTTGGTTAAAGTCCCGTTGTTTGTTGCCTTCAAACTTTACTGTTCCACAGATCACAACAAGGACTGTGGTCTGGCTTGGGGTGGCTTCATCATGGACAGGTTGGCAGTCTACCACGTTGATCTGGAACTCACTGGAAGGCAGCATTTCAAAAAACTCACTCAAGGACTCTTGTCCTGAAACAGCGTTTCCGTTCCACACAAGGGTGGCTGTGCCCATGTACAGGCGGGACAGCAGGCGCCGCCGCTTATCCATGGTAGTGTAGTACACGTTCACAAACTCCTCAGCAGCTCTGCAGGCCTGATCCACGTAGGTCTTAAAGTCCACTGACGCCATCTCCAGCCCTGCCAAAGGAGGCCCAGGTGTGCCTGTGCCTGAGGGAGCCGGGGCTGTGGAGCAGGAAGGTTGAAGAGAACCCCGTGAATGTCCAAGTTCGTTCTGCCCTGACAATGGAATAATCATTTTCTCCCAGTGGCAAAAACAATTACAGACTGTAGAGAGATGACTCTAGGCTCAAATTTTGCGACACCTAATCTTACAATGCCTCGGTTTGCTCATTTAAAAATGGAAATAGCACCACTTGTGACATAGTTGTAATGTGAGAATTAAACAAGACAGTGCTTAGTTAAAAAGCCTGATACCTACATATTCAAAAGATGTTAGCTATTACTAGGAATTTTAAAAATCTCATTTTGTAAAAGATAGTACATTTGCCTATGTAAGGTCACTTTTTCCTGGAAGCGTGGACCAGGTGTGACTGCCCCTAGAAAAGTGGAGAAACAATGGATCCTGGATAAAGATAGTGGACCACATGGGATCCCTGGGTGGCGCAGCGGTTTAGCGCCTGCCTTTGGCCCAGGGCGCGATCCTGGAGAACCGGGATCGAGTCCCACGTCGGGCTCCCGGTGCATGGAGCCTGCTTCTCCCTCTGCCTGTGTCTCTGCCTCTCTCTCTCTCTCATTCTGTGTGACTATCATAAATAAAAAAAAATTTAAAAAAAAAAAAAGATAGTGGGCCACAATGAAGGGAGCAGTGGCCCAATAAAGACCAGTCAGAAGGCATATGCTTGTCAGCTGCTGACAGTCTAAGAAAGCCTATCATGAGCTCACCCTGTTAACAGCGGGTTTCTAAGAGAAAAGAGAAGAGAAGGCAGGTTTCCTAAGAAGATAAGAGAACAAATGTCACTAGCATGGTACCAAAATAGTGGTCAAGACCCTCATGACATGGCTAACCTCTCAGCTACTGGGAATGAGAAGGGAGGGCACCTAGCTTCCATGAGCACAAATACCTACAAGGCAAGTTCTGTGAGCCAAAATGGAAAGACAAGTTAAAAATGGAAAGGCAAGTTCTGGGACACCTGGGTGGCTCTGTCTGTTAAGTGTCCAACTCTTAATTTCAGCACAGGTCATGATCTCAGGGTCATGGGATCCAGCCTTGCATCCAGCTCTGAGTTTGCAGCAGAGTTGGTTTGTCACTCTCCTGCTTCTCTCCCCCGTCTCAAATAAATAAAAAATCTCAAAAATAAATAAATACAAGAATCAAGTAAGTTGTATGGATTGAGGATGGAGGTGGTGGCATCAAAAAAAAAAAAAAAAAGAAACTCAACTGTGGCTGAAATGTCACATTTCCTTAAAAAAAAAAAAAAAAAAAGCCCCAAAGCATAAAGAAATATTATTATTTGCTTGTCTCAAAGTATGGTACAACTGTTACAGTTCCCTGCTCTTCTTTGCATCATTAAAATATTTCACTAGAAGTGGGGTACCTGGGTGGCTCAGTTGGTTAAGCATCTGCCTTCAGGGCTGGTTGTGATCCCAAGGTGCTGGGGTCAGGCCCCATCCCAGCCCCGGCCTGCTCCCTGCTCAGATGGCAGCCTGCTTCTTCCTCTGCCCCTCCTTCTACTTGTGCAGGTGCATGTGCCTGTGCTCTTCCTCAAATAAATAAATCTTTAATAAAATTCTTAAAAATGAAATATTTCAATAAAAGAAAAAATTCACGAGACTATTACTAAAATAATGGGTATGTTTGGATATACACTGAATGAGTTTTTGTTTCAACGACCTTAACTTTTTTTTTTTTAAATACCAGCTCACGAAATGGAGAACAGATTTCAAAGAGCTGGGAAAGAGGAGGGCTGCACAAGGAGGAGGCCTCTGCCTTGGAGTAAAGAACTGTAAAGAGCAGGCAAGGAGCTCAGTCCTAGAAACGAGGAGAGAGAGGAGCAGACACAGCCCGAGGTCTCTGCACTGCCTCTTTGTTCTCAGAGTCAAGCCTCAGCAGACAGACTGTGAGCTGGGTATCTGCTGCCCACTTTGACTACACCCCCTCCTTCCAGGGCCACCACAAAAGGCCACACAATCCTAAAAATGAGAAGGGGGCAAGGGGTTGGATCACGGTCTGACGGCAAGCACACTCCTCTTTTACCTTCCTAAGACTGCTGGTGGCCTTGGAAGGCGTCAGGCCTGTGCTGTCCTTTCACTTGCAGCCTGTGCGCCCCTGCAGGTGGGACGTCGAGTCTCGGAGAGCACCGGCCCAGGCCTGCTGCCGGCCTGAGGCCGCCCCTCCAGGCCTGACCCCCTGACCCCGGGGCTCCCCGCGGCCCCCCGCGGCTCCCCGCAGGCTCAGGCCGCTCTGCAGGCGCCCTTCCTGCCCCCGTTCTCCCGGCCGGAGCGACTGTCCAAACAGCCCGGCACCGGGCCCGGCCCGGAGCGGGCACGGCCGCTCAGACGCTCCGGCTCCTTCCCCTGCGGTTCTGGGGCCCACAGCGCTGCCGCCTTCCCTTCTCCATCCAATCCGGGATGAGAAACGTCGGAAGTGAGCTGAGCACGCGGCCGAGAGCACGCCGCCTCCCCTCGGAGGCCTCCGTCGTCAGCTCCAGGGGGGACCGGGGACGATGCCACAGGCCTCGTTCCGGCGCCAGGCGCTTTCCTCGCGCCCGGCCCTCGGCCCCGGCCTGCTGCGGTGCCCCGCGGGGGAGTCCACGCCAAGCACCGGGCACGGCGTACTAACCTGGCGGGCGCCGCCAGCACACCGCAGGGGACGGGCAGCGGACGGCCGAGGGGACGCACGCGGGGGGTGTCTCCTGAGTCCCCGGCCGGGCCTGCGGTCGTGAGCCTGCGGGCCGCGGGGGACACCTACCTGCGCGGCGGGGGGCGGGGGTCGGCGCCGGCGTCTCCCGGTCAGCGTGGGCGGCGGCTCCCCCCGCACGGCCCCCGGCTCCACGGAGGTCGCAGGGCGGGGGCGGGGGCCGGGGCGGGCCCGCCCAGGCTGCAGGTCCTCCGCCGCTCGCTTCAGGAAGGGCCGGAAGAGCCGCCCTTCTCCCACCCTTCTTCCCGGATCCACCAGGGTCGTCGGGATCCCTGAGCCTGGGGACCCGCAGCTTCCCGCGCGCGGCCCGCCCTGCGCTGCGCAGACGCCGGGGCCCACGGCTCCGCCCCCTCCCGCCTCCCCTTGACGGGCAGCTGTGTCAGCCAACTGGACGGAGGACCTGGAGGCTAGCCCCGCCCAGGTGTGGCGCAAGGACACGGTGGCTTCCGGGAGAGGCGCTTTCCCAGAAGGCCACAGAAAATCAGCGGTCGGGTTTTCATTGGTTTAACTAGGCATAGAACCCGGTCCGATTGCTCAGGCGGGTTCCTTGATTGGATGAAATATCCCAGGTCCCGCCCCCGGAGCAAGAACCGCGAGAGGTGTGTCCCGCGGAGTGGAGGCCGCCTGACTGGAGAGGATGGGGAGGACTGTGTGCGGCGACCTCAGGTTCTTGCCCTGGGACCTCCATTCGCCTGCAGTCGGGGAAATTCTACTTAATAGACGACCTGATGCTATCTCGGAAAGCCAGCACTAGAAGCAGGCAGTGACCCACGGAGGCTTTCACACAGGCAAGGCAGGTGGGGCTCCGGGAACATGGACTCCGCCGAGCCCCTGGGGAGCTCTGCCCGAGGAGGGGTCTCGGCCGGGTGCTCCTCCCCCCCCACCACGTGGAGCTCTGCCCGAGGAGAGGTCTCGGCCGGGTGCTCCCCCCCACCACCACCACGTGGAGCTCTGCCCGAGGAGGGGTCTCGGCCGGGTGCTCTTCCCCCCCCCCACCACGTGGAGCTCTGCCCGAGGAGGGGTCTCGGCCGGGTGCTCCCCCCCCCCCCACCACGTGGAGCTCTGCCCGAGGAGGGGTCTCGGCCGGGTGCTCCTCCCCCCCCCACCACGTGGAGCTCTGCCCGAGGAGGGGTCTCGGCCGGGTGCTCCCCCCCCCACCACCACGTGGAGCTCTGCCCGAGGAGGGGTCTCGGCCGGGTGCTCCCCCCCCACCACCACGTGGAGCTCTGCCCGAGGAGGGGTCTCTGCCGGGTGCACCCCCCCCCACCACGTGGAGCTCTGCCCGAGGAGGGGTCTCGGCCGGGTGCTCCTCCCCCCCCCCACCACGTGGAGCTCTGCCCGAGGAGGGGTCTCGGCCGGGTGCTCCTCCCCCCCCCCACCACGTGGAGCTCTGCCCGAGGAGGGGTCTCGGCCGGGTGCTCCTCCCCCCCCACCACCACGTGGAGCTCTGCCCGAGGAGGGGTCTCGGCTGGGTGCTCCTCTTGATAGGTCAAGTCCCTCCGGCAGCCAAGAGCTGACATTCCAGGAGAACACCCATGTTAATGAAGTGGGAAACTCCACTAGAAGGGAGAGAAAAGCCAAGGGTGGGAAGAGTCCAAGTTCAGGAATCACAGACGTGTGCCAGAAAGGGAAACAGAGGCTCCTCCTGGGAATTGAGGGACCCGAGGATAGTGGCAGGCTCCAGCTGTGGCCCGTGACCTGGTGTGCACTGTGCTTCTGTGCCAGGAACTAGCTGCATCGCAGCCAACTTGGAACTGGAGCTTTTCTTTAGAACCACAGGCTCAGAGCCATGGACACAGTAAGATATGGGAAACTTCCCGTTTACAGCGAAAATTTAATGATAATAAAGGTTTCTTTAGATACAGGATCCTCAACTTCCACTGGTCTGAGAGACTGAATAATTCCTTGCAAAACTGGGAGCCCTCTGGGCATGCTGGGAGTTTACTGACATTGCCATGTCTTTAGTGTGGTGCGTTTACCTCATACCCTGTTGACTACCTTTCCAGGTACCTTTACTTACATTCCTGAGAAAACCCTTGCTCTCAGATTTCATGACCAATTTAGACACTGGGTGGGCTCTTTAACACGTAGTATAGGCAAACTACTTTTACTTAAATCATGTAGGTGAAGAATTCGGATTATAAAAAAAATAAGGTGGGGCTGAGTAGAGAGGGTGAAATACCATCTTTGTTTTTGTTGTTGTTTTTAGAGATTTTATTGATTCATTCATGAGAGACACACAGAGAGAGGCAAAGACAGAGGCAGAGGGAGAAGCAGGCTCCCTGTGGGGAGCCCAATGTGGGACTGGATCCCAGGACCCCAGGATCATGCCCTGGGCCAAAGGCAGGTGCTGAGCCACTGAGCCACTCTGGTGCCCTGAAATAGCATCTTTGAAGGAGTATATCACAGACATGTCTTTATAAAGCCTGGGACAGTGAAATTAGGATTTAATGTACAAAAATCTTAAACACAAATAAGTCAATCGGAGAAGGACGAACATTATATGATCTCATTCATTTGGGGAATATAAATAATAGTGAAAGGGAATAGAAGGCAAGGGAGAAGAAATGTGTGGGAAATATCAGAAAGGGAGACAGAACATAAAGACTCCTAACTCTGGGAAACGAACTAGGGGTGGTGGAAGGGGAGGAGGGCGGGGGGTGGGGGTGAATGGGTGACGGGCACTGAGGGGGGGCACTTGACGGAATGAGCACTGGGTGTTATTCTGTATGTTGGTAAATTGAACACCAATAAAAAATAAATTTATTATTAAAAAAAATCTAATCACAGCATCAATGGAACGAAGGTTGATTTACTATGTTGGAGGTTGTGCTGCTCTAGGTTTCATCACATTTCCCACATAACTCTTTTTGTTTCAGTCTTTTAAACTTTGGGGGAGTTATCATTATTTCTGATTTTATAGAGAAGGAGGCTGAGAGACAGAAATTGAGTGCTAGAAAGCTGCTTCAAAACTAGAAAAGCTGGTTAGGAGACCATAAGTCCAGCTCCAAGGAGGCAGCCTAGCCAGCAACAGGAGGGTAGGGGGCCAGGAACCTTTCAAGTTAGGGTCTTCAGCCTCTAGAATTGTGCCTGACCCACAGCAAGCCTCAGTCAGTACTGTTTGAACAGACAGGTGGGGTTCAAAGTCATTGCCCCACAAACTCTAGTCCTCTCTAACAGCCACCCCCCTACTCTTTGAAGCAAGCCTGTTTTTTTATTACCTCTGCAGTCCTTCAATTTGGGAAGTTAGAGACACCCCTGACTCCAAGAGACATGACAGTGGCACTGTATGCCCTGAGCATAGTTCTGGGGTGGTAGGAGCCCCAATTTAGACCACAGAGCCTGGATAAAGCATTTGCCAGGAGATTTGGGGGAGAGATGCTTTTTCTCTCTATCCTTATATGTGGCAGATGGATGGTGCAGCTGTAGCCATCTTGCCACCCTGAAGGGGAGCCCCTGGACAGAGATGCAGACAGGAGACAGGGGAAGAATTCAGGCCTTTGGTGACTGTTGGGAACCAAATCAGACTGAAGTTTGGACTTTCTAGTTTCAAGAGCCAGTGAATTTGCTTTATGTTTTAATACTATTTAAAGTTGGGCATAAACAGAAAGGTATTTATAACTTAATGAGTATGACTTGGTGCACTAGACCAGTGATAGTGGCAAGTGAGTTAACCACACCAAGGCTCAGCTGCCTCATTAGGAGAAGAGGAACAGTAATAATACTCATTTCCTTGGGTTGATGTGAGGCACAAATGAAAAACAATGCATGTAAGTGCTTAGCATAGGCCAACACAAAGTAAGCATCCAGAAAACCTTATTAGTATGCTTTGATGTTTTGCATTGGCAACAACTTCCTCATTTGCCAAGTGTTGTGCCCAAGATTGCGTATCCGAGAAACCACCAAGGAGCCGACACGGACACCGATGCAAGTACATGAGGGTTTATTTACAAGCTCGAGCTTGGGTCCAAGTATACTCCATACAGCAGGGACTTGGACCCTGAAGTGGGTTATAGCTGGGTTTTTTATGGGCTGGTCTAGGGGATCTTCAGAAGTGGTGGAGGAATTTTTTCCATTCCAATATGGGGGAAAGGGTGGGGGAGTTTCTTAAGATCTGATCTGGGATTCTCTGCAGAGGGCATTCTGAGCTTTATTGTCTTTCCGGTATGGGATTCCCTGCCAAGGACATTCTGCAGTTTTTCCTGTGAAGTTCAGCTCTTATTCCCAGGGGCCTCAGATGGCTGTACTTGTGCTAATGCTAAACTTGAGGTGGAATGGCCTTAATTTTTCTCGGCCTCCACACCAAGAATTCCTCCAACAACTGGCTTTTAAACTTGGGACAAGTGTAATGACAAATTGGTAGGATTTGTCACCAAACCACTTGCACATCTTCTGGAAGATGAGCCTGGCTCAAGCAGTAGGGAAGCCAGCATCCCTCCGTGCTGCATGGAGTCTGTTCAGGGAGGAAGGGCACGTCTGGTCATACATGCTGAGCCTCTGGCAGCTCTGAAGACAGGCCTGACTTATGGATGTTTAGGTCCATAGACACAGAATTAAGCTTTTCCCTGTTGTCAGCATAGTTGTGTGGTGTGGGACCTGTTGTGCCCAAGATTACGTATCTGAGAAACCACCAAAGAGCTGACACTGATGCAAACACACGAGGGTTTATTTACAAGCTCAAGCTCGAGCTTGGGTCCAAGTGTACCCGACACAGCAGAGCAGGGACTTGGACCCCCAGGTGGGTTCCAGCATAGTTTTATGGGCTGGTCTAGGGGACCTCCAGAAGGGCTGGAGGAATTTCTCAAGTTCTGTTTACATTCTGATATGGGGCTTTCAAGGGCATTAAGCTCTGTTCTCACTCTAATACGGGGCTTTCTACCACAGGCCTTGAGCTCTGTTCTCATTCTAATATGGGGCTTTCTAGGGTGTTAAGCTGTAAGCTGTTTTTTCCTGTAACTGAAGCAAGGTAAATATCTGCTCTTCTTCACAGGGGCCTGAGATGGCTGTACTTGTGCTAACGCTGAACTTAAGGTGGAACGGCCTTAATTTTCTTGGCCTCCACAGGACCTAACAGTGCTTGTTTGCCATGAGAGGCTGCGTCATTTGGAGCCAGGCAATCTCCAGAACTGCCAATGCCTTGTCATCATAAACAAACATGTGTGTGTTTCCCCCCCATCTTAGCAGAATCAAAGAAGCTACTGCTGGAGCAGAGTGAGCTGGGGCTATATTTCTGGGCCACTTGAGGCCCCGAGTTTTGGGGAGATTCTGGGAAGGCAAGAAGAACTGAGGCCCATAAGCTTTGGACCTGAGAAGTGTCCTGGAACAGAGAG